AGTCTCTGTGTGGTGCCCCATCTCAGTTCTTCTCAGTAAACCTGCATGATAAATGCCTGGTAGGGCGCAGCTGGGAGGTGAGTGGGTGTAGGGACTGCCCTGGGCCTGAAGTAGGGCTGGAGGGAGAGAGAACTGAACAAACATAGACCAGGTTCCAGTCCAGACCCAGCTGAACTTTCTCCAGGCCCTCAGGCAAACTGCTGCCTTTTCCCAGTCTTCTTTGACTCATCTCTACAATGGGCTGGCCTCTGTACACCCTAGGAAGGTGCATAGTCCTGAGAAGGTTGAGTGAACACTAGAAGCTGTCCAGACATCATCTAGCCGAGAGCTGTTAGTGACTTGATAGGCACCATCTCCTCAATATTAATGAGCCCACTTAACAGATGGGACTGGCAAGGACAAAAAAACTGGGTCATACATGAAGGCGCTAGGATTTGGACCCAAGCCTTTACCATGATATTCTTCCCCTACACCAAGGCCTCTGGTAAGGCATGTACACCTTGGGTAGTCAAAGACTGTGGAGAAGCCCCGCAGTGGTTCCTTGCACCCCCTCCCTTGGGGTTACAGGCTGGTCCAGGTCTCAGGGGAGGTTTCTGGGTCTGGTGATGCCATCAGAGACACTCAGAGGTCCCTGCCCACCTGAGGGCCTGGGAGCCAGCGACCCCCTAGATCACAGGAGGAGCTGGCGCCAGAACCCAGCTGGGGCTGGGCTGGGGCTGGGGCCCCAGGGGAGGGGAAGGCGCCAACTCCAGACTTGGGGAAACAATGGGTACATCTCTGCTTTCTTCTCCTGGGCTCTGTCTGGGGTCAATGACACACCTCTTCGTCCTCACCTATGGGTGGGGGCAGAATTATGGGAGGACAGTCATCTCCCCCCACCCCCATCACCTATTTCTAAAGTCCACCTGGCTTAAGACCCGATGGGAGATGGGGTTAAGGGGCATTCAGATTAGGGTCTTCAGTAGTTACCCAGCAGGGCCCCTCCCCCAACATCCTTGGCTTCTACCTGGCAGACCTCCTGCCTCCTGGTCTAGGCTGAGCAGTCTGTACCTGCCTGAGACACACCTGACCAGGTGGGCACAGCCCAAAATCACGGAGGATCTAGGCCATGAGGGCCTAGCAGCTATGCCTGGGACTCGGGGTGTTTCCGGGACCCCGGACCACCCCAGCCAGCCCCCACCTCTAATGGACCACCTTCAGCCGGGGGGTGGGGGGTGGGCGGGGGGACTGGACGGGCTGGCCGGCCTTCCTGCCGGTCCTGGGACCTCCACGCGGACCCCAGACCCAGCCGAAGCGCCGGAGCGGGGGCGGTGGGGAGGCGGCCTCCGAGCCCCCGGGTGGTTGCGGACCCCGCAGGACATAGCGTGGCGTGGCGGAAGGAGCTGCGCCCCGACTCTGCGGCAGCTGCGGGGTCCCCGGGCAGAGGCCGGGGCGGCGGGAAGGCCTGTCGGTGCTGGGGAGAGCCCCCATGCCCGGGCTGCGGGCTGGGTGTCGGGACCCCAGGTCCGGGTCGGGGAGGGGCCGCGCAGGTAGAGGCGCGAGCCGGCGGGCGGGGCGCGCGCGACCGGGGAGTCTCACCTGAAATTGGGAGGCGACGCGATGTGCAGCCCAAGAAACGGGGAGGCAGCGGACGGGGACGCGGCCCCCCCGCCCAGGCCGCCGCTCTCTCGCTCCGCCATTCTCGGGCGCAGCCCTGGCCATCCGGGCGGAGCGC